TTTTTGTATGTATGTTACGCGATAACTCCGTGATAATAACTTGTGAACCAATTTTGATGATTCTTTTTGTTGGAAAGAGGGTACCTCAGATGTGGTCCCATTTAAATTTGAAGAAAATGTTCTACCTCTAAGGTAGGTTTTTTTAGTACTATGTACTGAGGTTATTATTTCAGATCTAAATCGCGTATATTTGTTTTCTTTTTTCAAACAAACCAACATTCCTTTTACAGGTCGCATAGTCACGCCCGTCACAAATATACTCGAGAATCAAATGCGAAAAAATACTGAAATTTGAAGAAAATATTCCACCTCTACGGGTGGCAAACTAGGGATGAATGACTTTTGAGATAGGTTTTTTAGTAATCTGTACTGAGATTATTTATAAAAAAAGTTATAATTAGACTGGTATTAATTGACTGGTTTTTGTAAGATAATATCTACGATGACTGTACGACAGAGATTGTTTTTACTATACTATAATAACACTTACTACAAGTACAAACAAAGCGAAATCCAAGTTGCCTGATTACAAATTATAGGTTATTACGAGTCCTTGACGTACAAACGGAGTTTTAAGCACATAGGTCTAGGACGGCGATACGAAATCGGTCAGTAACACCGCGCACTTAATTTGACGCTAGTTACACAAAAAACGATTATGTTTTGCACTTAATTGTTGCGAAATATATGTATATGTCGGTGTTCGTTCCAACTTACGGTTAAGGTAATCTAGTGCCTTACCCGTTTGTATTATATATAACTCGTATTATATTTGCTACTAGGTTCTTTGTATTATATGTAACTTATAATATATAACCAAGAAATTACGAAGTAAAATCAAAAGTTTAATTAATTTCTTGCTTAAACTAAATCAAAGTTCGTTTTGTATAAAAATGCTTAGCTCGCCATTTTTGTTAAGACTACATTGGAAATGCTGTGATAGAGCTGAAAACCCCTGAGTACAGAAAATGAAGACAGATCATATCGCCAAAGATTTAAGGAACTGCTATGCTAATGAAAACGACACGTCCAACAGAGCAAAAGTTGAGGTAAAATGCAAGAGCGGCAGACCCCACCAACAGTAAGGCTAGCACGACAGTGCGCGCGCGACTTGCGCGAGAGCGACATAGAGCGCGAGATACTGCTATTCTCGCATAGAGAATCTCGCGCTTAGTGTCTCTCGCGCGCAAGACGCGCGCGCACTGTGGTGCTAGCTCTTCAATTAGGAATAATAATACTGAAAAGAGAGAGAGAGAGCCATTTTGGCTTTGTCGAAATCAAAGTTCGTGTTATAAATCTCAGCCACAGTCCTATGAAGCACGAATAACCACTATCCGAGGGACAATGTCAAGTTATGAGTCTACCATTACATAAAAACAATGGACCGTTTTTTAAACACCCGGATAATCGCGGTCAGTACTTTATTGTATTCATTGTTGCTGCAAGTAAAATAAATAACATCTCTACTCTTCCTACATAATCTGTCGTAAGCCACACGTAGACTTTATTTCTATATAGGTCAATTATATTCAGCACTAAAATTATAAATGTTGAAAGGTAATGAACAGTTGCCATACCTCAAAGATGTGTGGTGTGAGGTGTGCTCATTTTAGTTCTTTCAATTTATAAACACGTTCCCCTGTAAATTTGAGAATTTGAGGCCATAATTCTTCAGTCGACTCAAATACCGATCTATGAAAGGACACAACTTAGAATGACCTCCGCGGAGGAGGTACGCACAAGATAGCGCTAGCATCAACTCATATCGATGGCCAAAACCTAAGAAATAAGTATTCTTTACATAAAAGGAATCCATCTTCTTTATAGAAATAACACTGTAGCAATATTGACATAGCACTACATAGCGCTACGTAGCTCTTACGCTGCACAGGGCTTTAAAATAGATGCAAGTAAATATTAAGCAGTTCCACTTCATGTTTCTACATGTTTTATACACTATGGCTGATATATGTATATGACCATACCTATCTTTAACTTATCTTAAATCTTAAATTGTCTTCAGATAAGAATATTGTAAATCGCATAGCGAGCGATTTGCTTAATTACGTATTTCAAATGCTATCAAGTTGACCCCAACACATAAACTAAAATTTTAATCAAAATGTAGAGATATTTAATATGAGATGATAAAATGTAACATAAATTGCTCGTAAGTGTATAGTGTCAACGATGTAGGCTCCATACAGATAAATGATTCTTGCCTATAATTAATTTAATAAGTAGACTTTCCACTTGAATGGTATATTTGATGTCAACAACATAAAACAATTATCTCTTTAATAAAATTTATTACTTACTTGTTAATCTGTCTAGAACATAGGTGACCAAACTTTCTATCTTGTAGTAGGTCACGTGTAAATTTATTCTATTTTAGATAGACCCCTCCCCTGTCTTTTATGTTTTTTTACAAATTCACCAACTTCAATTGTGTTTTGACAGCTAATGCAGTGCTACTCACTTTTGTGAGTGAGTATTGCATTGTGCATTAATAACTTTGCTACATATATAGCTCAATATCTTGTTTGTTGTGAAATGTTTACTTTATAAGTAATTATATATCTATTGTAAGAAAGTATGGTATAATTACGTAGGTATTATCTGAATAATGTGAATTATTCCATTTATGGAAAGTCATGGTCACGACCTGTCTCAGTGGAATCCACGCCAGTGGAGCCCCATTAACGTCTACGAACCCCTGTTTTTTTTTTACTAACGTGACCGCTTGCAGCCCCGAGCAAGTTCGTTTGGGTCGACATAGTTCACTTTGAGAACCAATGGTCTAGAAAAATGTTCGTTATTTGCAAAATTCAGAAATTAGTAAAAATTGCATACTGCCACTATTTTATACCTTTCACTAATCCGTATTATGATGTGTCTTTGCGGACTAAACTTATATTTAATGTTTCCTTTTTTGCTTTACATTAAATTTCGCTACGCTTCAAGTAATCACTCACTTAAGGCGATAAGAGTAATTGACCTGCCACGTCTAATTTTGAAAAATTAATACTGTCTTAATTTTGATCGTGACTGTATTTTAAAAAAATAACAGATTTTATAACTCTAGTTGTGGTACGCAATGCAATAGCTATCCGCGGCGTGTCTGCCATTTCACAGATAACCCAACGACCTAGCCCTCATCGCGACAGCTATCGGAATATATTCACGCAAACTGGGACACCGAATGACGTAACTTCTTGTCACGTGTTAACAACAGTGACGTAATAACGTTGCTGCGAATATACAATTGTAGCTTTTTTTTAATGGCACTAGAATACCCTTTGCAAACGTCGAAGTAAAAGGTTAATTATAAATTTATTTATATTTTATTAATCCGTCAATTTTGATGACCGTTAGTTAAAAATTACCTGCAATCTGCAGCTGTAGCTAACGGAAGAAACCGTACTTGTAAAAGAAAATCATCGAAAGAATGCGATTGATATACTACGAAATTGAGGAGAATCACTCTCCAGTTAAATTGGGGAGTTGTATAAAAATATTGCATTTATGACTTAGGAAGTGGATGCGTAATTGTCCACACAACTTTATCGATGCTCAAAAACTATGGCCAGATAACAAAAATTTGAATAATGGCGCATGCACTAAATTTATTCTAGGTGGCGAATTTTACATCTGTATATTTAATCTAGAAATTAAATCTCATGTTTAGACGTTCTAAAGTGAACTAGCACATACAAATACAGACGCCACAGCCACCGGAGGCGAAGCGGGAAAAACTGTTTAGCTAGATTAAATGGTTCAGGTATTTACTATTAAATAACCGGCTTACAAAAAATGTACGATACACCTAAGGATATTGTCTAAAGAATGTGCTAATGTGTTACACGATAGGATGTACTTTATCTGACCATTTAAAATCATGAAAACAGGGTCAAATAAAAGTATAAAACGAATTATTTAAGAATAAAACATCTAACTTTATAGGGTCGATGCCCTCACTTAGGTATCCATTATTTGTACTAAGTGCCATACAAATTGTGGATACCTAAGTGAGGGTTTATTTTTAGGTAATTACAAAGATTTTGCTAAATTTTGGTTTTCAATTGAAACCCTATTGGCTATTAAATTCAAATTTATCCCAAAATTTGTGAATTGTTAACGACACGCTGCGCGCTCTGCTGCCCTGTCATTTGCTCTGGGTGTTCTTATTTTACAAATATTAATTTACCACCTCCTAAAATCTAGGCTCTCTTTAAAATACCTCGCCTTAAAGATAAAGAGAAGCGCTGGAAACATGTTTATTGCACATTCCGTCAATGTACATTTCAGTGCTATTCGCATGATTTTTCGCATGTTTACTTTACAAGTTATGGTTATGGTTAACCTAAAATAAGGCATAATCAGGTTAGAGATAACTGGTGCTACAACTACGTTTCACTTTATTTCGAAACGCGCTTGATCTCCGTCACCCGTTTAGAGCGGTTGCACACGCGCCTGTACCAGCGCGTCTGCTCTGGAGCGACTCAGTTAGTCGCGATGCAGTCGCAAATAGTCTACTGATACATAAACGCGCTACTTAGGCAGCGATACAATCGCGATAGAAACACCATGCGCATTTTTAATGATTCAATATAAGAGACTCCATCAATACAACCCACCCATAGTACATAAGAAGGGTGGCGAAGCAATCGCGCGTTTCAAAAACGCGCGTTTGTACCGCTGCTAATATTCGACATGTGTAGGCTCTTAAAGACATAACACAACAAGTAATGTGTAGGAGAAGTTTTTAAAACACATTAAAATGAAAATATTGACATACAATGTTTAATTTTTAATTTAATGACATAAAGTGCTTAAACGTTTGATATTATGTAGTAAAGAATTATCACAAAATTGTTTTCGATTTGTTTATCAGCAAATGCGTAAATGTTACTCATGCTTATACGTTTTGCTTGAACACAACAATTCCGACAATGAGCCACGTACAACATTTTAAACAAAGAAATATGGTATGTACTCACAAGTGCTAGAGCGCTCTCGGGATACCACTTGCACGGCCGAAGGAAAATGGTGAGCAATTCGTCATCGTCGCCAAAATACAAATCTTTGTTCTCCTTCAACAGCTCTCGTAGCCTTTCAAGAGCTTCCCTGACTCTCTCTGGCGTTTCTCTCAGCTCTGTCTCGGCGACCTGCTTCGTCTCAGGAGATAACTCCACATTTCGTTCTAATTTGAACTCGGTGGAAGTCATTTTGGTTGAATAATGCTACCTAAAAGGAAATAAATTTAAAATAAATTTTCGAATGAATACCAAATTCATTTTAAACCGTAATACACATCTATAAATAATTAGACCTCTGTGGCTTAACGGCTTGCACTGTCGGGTTCGATTTCCGATGGGACTAATTTAGGAAATAAGCTTTTTCAAATTGTTTGCAATCTCTGGGATATCTGGAAAGTGACCCAGATAGTAGCCCCAGTGGTTGGAGATCAGGTGAGTGAGATACGCCCATAAATATAGGAATATGTTAGGTCCATAATACATATTTTTTTAAAGCAGTGACAAGTGGTTGCCGTATGTATTTACATTTTGTGATTTTTTGTGGTTCTTAGCAACTACACTATAAAATATCGAATAGTACAGTTTTTAGTTGGAGGTAATTATGTAATGTAACATGTCTTAACATTATAGCTTAAGTACAGTTCACTTGACACGGTGGGTTGGTGTTTACATTTCAAGTGGCGACCGAACGGACGATACGCATACTTAAATTCTAGAGTTTGTAATATTTATACAACGTTGTAGATGTATATCAACTATATGGCATATGAACTACGTGAATCGTCTTTAAGTATTTTGCTAAACTAAAAGTTTTTTGTACTTATTAATAAAAAGATCGAACACTTAGAAACAATTCCTTCGATCCGGCTGGTTTCGAACCAACGTCTACTAGCAACCATGCCAGACGCTATGCCAACTAGGCCACGGAACGAACCAACGGGCCTCACGAATTTTTCTATGTGCTTGTTGTCAGATCTTTGTATTTGGTTTTCAACGACTTTTTAGCCGTAGCGCGTAAAATTTTTTATTTATTATTATAATTTATTTTAAAAAAGCCTTGATAGCCTGGGGGTTTGACCTACTGCCTCTCAAGCAGAGGCTGTGAGTTCGAATTCGTTTTTAAGTTTTAAGTTTTTCGGAATTTTTATGCGAATTTCATTCGAAATTTATCATGATGTTTTCGGTGAAAGAAACCGCGTAGGACATGCGTGTCGAAGAAGATTCACAATTTTCGGAAAACGTGAGAAGTTTTCAACCCGCATTGGCCCAATGTGGCGGACTATGACCTAAACCATAGGTTCACCAAACTTTTTGGCCACTTAGGCAAAATAAAAAATTTCAACGCCCATCACCACAAAAAATTATTGAAAACACGTATTTTTTATATTAACTTAACACAAACAAATCACGATGAAAATAAATTATATATTTGAAGTATAGTTTACATAGATAATTCAAGTTTTCTTTTCAAATGAGGTAGCACCCGCTAAAGCATCAACGCCTCCCAATTGCTTACGAGACCTTAGGACTCCTCAGCGCCCACTCCAGGGCGGTAGGGAAACTATCTATTAAACCCTCGCCTGAAAGGAGACCCGTGCCCGGTAATGGGACATATAAATGAGTTGATGATGAAGATTTTATATCAATAATCTTTTCGTAATTATTTTTATACCTATCCAAAAATCGTTGAAGAATCTACAGTTTATTAGCCACACAACATGTTTATGTAAACTTCCTCTAACGGACGGATGGTCAAGTAGACATGACACTGGCCGCAAGGCAAGGCCTTATTGTGGATTCTTAGCATGTCATTACAAGCCGCACGTGTTGCCGCGCCGTTTCAAGAATTCCAAATCGAAATTACGATTAACATTGATGCATACCTTTAACCCAATCAGGAAAATTAAGTAACAAATTGTGATTCTAAGCTCGTCAATTCATTCTATAATATCCAGTTCTTAGGTTTTCGGGATAGTTTCTACACATAGGACCCTAAATGACTTCAAAAAAAGGAGGCGGTTGTCAATTCGACAGTATGTTTTTTATGTTTATTTTTATGTTTTTGTATGTATGTTACGCGATAACTCCGGCTCATTTGTGAACCGATTTTTATGATTCTTTTTTTGTTGGAAAGATGGTACCTCTGTAGTGGTCTTGTTAAAATTTGAAGAAAATGTTCCATCTGTAAGATCCGTTTTTTTAGTACTCTGTACTGAGGTTATTATTTCAGATCTAAATCGCGTATTTGTCTTTTCAAATAAACCAACATTCCTTTTACAGGTCATGTAGTCACGGCCGTCACAAATATAAGCGATTTAAATCCTAAAAAATAGTTTCATTTCATTTTATAATTCACTTTATTTCAAAAACACCTAATGTAGGTCATTAACTATACACTAGAATGCTAGCAACATGAAACGAAAAAATCAAGAAAAATTATCGCTTAATTACGTAAATAATGTAAATCGGAAAAGTAGAAATGCATAATCGTTCTCTCGTAAAAAGAAGACTAATTTCATTCATTTAGTTTATCGACATTAACAGAGCAGCGATAGATCTAAATTAGCTAGATATTCAATACGCATTATATTGTCCAATCAACTGACTCAAAAAACAATTGATTATTTGATACATTTAAGGATATTAATACCAAGTATCTAAGAAATATGTTTATATTACTAGATGACGGGACGCACAAATCGTGGTGAATGCATTGACTTCACTATAAATCAAAAAGTTTTTAATTTATGAAAACTAAGTATTATTTATTATAGTACACCTATGCTTAACACGAAGAAGTTTAACTCGTTGTCCCAAAATATGGAAATTTCATCTGGATAGTAACTAAAGTTAGTTTTGAAGTTAATGATAAAAAAGGGTTTGGGTTAGATAAGTGGTGATATGCAAAGCGGCATTAAACTTATTATCACTGTCATTGTTGTCTTTGTAAGTAGGAAAATAAGTAAACATAAATGCAGAATATGAATCGAAAACGTTAATACGTAATTTTTTGTAACATACTATTATTGATAATTAAAAATATATATGTAATGTGCGTACGATATACAAGAGAAAATAAATTTCATAATTCGTAAAATCATCAAATTGATAAAAATGTTCCTTAGTTCAGTAACCTTTGCACGAGTCCAAGTTATTGCATTACATTTGCTCTAAATTAATCATCTATTTCCTATGATGACGTTGTCTTGACAAAACGAAATCCGTTTTCAATGTATTGCTTACATAAATATTCTATCATGGCCAGTATTAATTTTCACATACAAAGAAGAACTTTCAACAAAATTTCTAGATTGCTACCTATATGAATTTAGAAAAAGTGTAGTAATTATTGTTAATAAAATTCTCGCCTTATTTGTCTTTCATGTTGTGTCAAGTTATTCTTATTATTACATTATTCAACGTTAGTAAGTTTGAAGTAAGTCATTTTAAGGTTCAAGCCTACTTTACATTTCAAGAATTATAATTACCTTCAGAATAAACCATTAAAAATCATGTTATTATACTAATTATTGCGTCCCGGTACTACCAACAACTACGATTCTCCAAAAGATGTATTTTAATAATAATTTGAATGCAAAAACATTACACAAACTACTTGCCACTACAATAAATAACCAATGAAATACAGTTTCACAACATCGGGTATTAGAATGCACGAAAACAATGGGTCAACTCACGACACAAATCACGAATCGATGTAGCGCCGCTTCATACGGGCTTCTCGATTTAAAACAAAGAAAAAAATCGTGAAAATTCACTAACCTCACTCGCGGTAGAACTCACGCGCCGGTGAAAAGCACAAAGGGCGGGAAATCGATCGACAGCGGGTAAGAAACACAAGCGAATGTGCGCGCGCGCAACCTTACAGCTGTTTTATAGAAGCAAGATAAGGCAGACGGTATTCGCTCCCCGGCCTCCGCCGCGAGCCGACAGACGACCGGGGCGGGTGATCAACGTGTTGCAAGTCTGCAACAGAGGCAGATGGGGTTGAAGATTAAAAATATATGTATAAGCATTTAATTCTGTATCTGTCACTTAGCAATTTTATAACAAAAACAATGCGTTTTTATCATCTGTGAAATATCTCGGTTTTTTTTAACACTTAAACAAATCTTTTGTCATTTTACTACAAGCAACTTTATTCATAACTTATAATAATTAAAAACAAAGTCGTAATTACCGTGTTTCTTAGCAAATAAAGAAAGGGCATACCTTTTGTTTCTTTCACTGGCACTGCGCCAAGAACTTTGTCCATTTAATGTGACAAAGAAGTAATCGGCGTGTTTGAATAAATAAAATGTGCACATTTACTCGTAGGTACATCTCCATACACAAATATGAGATACCTACCACGTAGATATAACAGGTGCTAATTCAATTAAATTTCGTGCCAAAGTCATAACTCTAATATGCTATATATTATTAGTAGCAGTAGAGCTCCTTGTGAAAGAATTCGTCCAAAGTAGTACTGCCATCTTACCTTTTGTTGCCGCCAAGCAAAAATGTGACCGTTACTAAACATTTTTGAAGTATGCTACTGAAATTACTAGCACAAGGGACTTATCAACTTATGTATCAGGGCGACTTGTTTGTCTCGTAACTTAGTATCTTAAAAAATACTGCAATAGTACACAGCGACACTAAAATGTATAATCTAACTAACTATTCGTTACTACAAATTAAAAAAATGGTCATTAGGCGTAAAAGCGTGTATATTCAATCGACAGTTTACTAATACCATCTGGGTCTACTGTATTTAAGTAAACGCGACCTTTCCTTGCGCAAAACAAAGATTTTTACTATTATATTATATCGTATTCAATACAACTAGCTTTACTATTTTATGTACATATCTGACGTTTCTTGAACTGTAACCCAAGTAACTCGTCATTAATCGAAATAGGTAAGCATTTACGACGTAGGTATTATTTATGTAAAAATTTTGTATTTGTACAAATGGTTTTTTTTTTTAAATCCAAGCAAAAAAGCCATTTTTTTAAGTATGAACTATCTTTTTTTGTGAAGAATGAAATTCACAAAAACTTCCCCATTGTTATAATTAACAAAGGCATCACGCTGTACGCACAACGCGTTAACAAAAACGTTGTTTTATAAAGCGTGTAACGTTTTAATACGTTTTAACACTGAAAACAGTAGTAAGGTATTGAAATTCGTAATATTTTTTAAATAATTTGCGATTTTGCAGAAATGCCATTTTGATGATGAGGTTGACGTTGATTTTTTTATTGTATGCACCATTGCATAAATTCTCATTAGTAGGAGATATAATAATAATAATAACAGACACCTACACGAATTTCCTGTGCTAGGAATTTCATAGTGATATTACAGGCACATAGCACTTGTATTATATTATTTATGCATTATATTAACCTTAGAACTAAGTCCAAACTCATGGCACCACGAACCCTTCATATCTTAACGATATTCTTCCGATATTTTAATAGTAGGTATACGTTTTTACAATAACATTCCGGAGCATTACTTATTAAGATTATCATTTCCTACGTTTAAAAACTAATTATTGAATATTTTAATTGAAAAGTTATATTTTAGTAGCAGTAGTTCATCCAGTGAAGTACTGCCGCCTTACCTATTTCTGCCGACAAGAAGTAATGTTATAGTGTTCCGGTTTCGAAGAGTGCTGGTGAAATTGCAGGCACATAGGACTTATGAACTCGTATCTTATGGTGACTGACGCAGTGGCAATGCCCTCAGATCTTTGTGATTTAAAGCACTAAGTGGCACTGCAAATGTTATGGACAGGCTTGTCGCTTGCTACCAGACGCACGACGTGTTCGTCCCGTCACTTGGAATTATAAAAAGAAAAACAGAGCAACGGAATTCACTCTGGGGCACTATCCCGAGAACCAATTTAGAAAAGTTCATTTTCGAAATTGGTTTTACCGGGAATCGAACTTGCGACCTCATCACCCGGCGCCCACAACACAAACCGCTAAGCCTCAGAGGTTGTCAAAATCGTATTGTCTCAATACACGGCCCAATTTTGCTTAATTTTGTTGAAACCTCTGGTAACTGCAATTCCTTTGAGACTCCGTTGAGATTATATATTACAATTACGACAATATTTGTTATTCTAAAATCTACTTGCAATGACAAATAGAGTAAATAGAGTGTCAGTGGAATGGCTGTGACGGCATTCAATCACTAACAATCGATATTACCTTACTAAAACTATCACGGAAATTACTATGCATGGCTCAATATTTATCACGTTTAAGAATAGAAGAGCAGAATACCAAAAAATTGCAATGGCAGCTGAGTAGTTAGCTCGGTGACTAGCCACTGACAAGCGTCTACTCTTAACTTTTAGCAAAATACCAAACGTACAAAATCCTACCATTGCCACTCTATCCGACACACAACTGAGATGGTTTAAAATTATTCACGTCAATACGGTAAAGAAACTAATTGTACAATTAAAATGCGTGTGTAATAATAATACACCACAATTAACTATTATCTAAATAGATATAAAATTAATTATTTTTACACATTGTATAAAACAATTGGAGACTAAGGTCAATTACTTATCGTATGGAAACTGTGTCATGCGACGGTTGCTCAACAACCGCTTGGCTGCTGATGAAGAAACAACGGAGTATCGTTTATGTAACATCACCCTAACATCACGCAAATTAAGTTTTGTTTAAGCTGTGTCATCATCACCACACCATAAACGCCCTGTAAACTGTTTGAGCACAGAGTATCCTCCAAAAATCCACCCTAATCTCTAATCTGAAGAATTTTATGAATATGCACCGATATACTGCTTTCATTACGATATTTTTCTTTGTCATAAAAGCAAATATTATGTATTTATTTATTTATTAAAAATGTAACTCATAACAATACGTTCCATTAGGCAACTTTAGTAGCAGTAGAGCTCCTTGTGAAAGAGTTCGTCCCGGGAAGTACTGCCACCTTACCAATTTCTGCCGTCAAGCAGGAATATCAGCATAACTGTGTTCCGGTTTTGAAGGGTAAGGGTGCTGGTGAAATTACAGGCACATGTGACTTGTCAACTTATGTCTCAGGGTGATGGGCGCAATGGCAGTGTCCCTTAGATCTTTGCGATTTAAAGCTCTGAGTGACACTGATATTGTTACGAACAAGCGTGCAGCTTACCATCAGGCGCACGACATGTTCGTCTCATCACTTGATATTATATAAAAAAAATTTATTAATATGACACCCCATAAGGGTATTTCACATTACAAATATAATAAAAAATATGGATTATGTTACTACCATGTCAAAAATCCTGTCATCAGTCTTCGTCAAATACATAAAATAACATAATAAAGGTTAAACTAAATTAATTAAATAACTACGTAAATTTGTAGTATAGTATAGTTTGAAAAAAATAGTCATTTAAGCTATACAACATTTGTCAATTAGATTTGCGAATTTTATTTGCAATATCAATAACTTCTTAATTTAAATAAAAAAATTAAAAGATCCCGATACTAAACAATGTATCTACTCTAAAAACTCAGTCACCATTCGTAAGCTAAAAACTCGGCAATACTAATAACGAAAGAGACCCTAAACACTGAAAGTTTGCCGCCAAGCAGTAATGTGAGCATTACTGCGTTCCGGTTTGGAAGGATAAGGGTGCCGGTGAAATTACAAGCACATGAGACTTGTAAACTTATGTCTCAGGTTGACAGGCGCAGTGGTAGTGCCCCTCAGATCTTTGCGATTTAAAGCTCTGAGTGGCACTGCAACTGTTATGGACAGGCGTGTAGCTCACCACCGGGCGCACGACCTATTAGTCCCCTCACTTGATATCATAAAAAAAGTATCACGGTGGACCGGTGTCAGGGATTCAGTTTCAAGAACCGGCGAACAATACGTGACGTATCCAGCAGGACCGCCTTCAGAATTTGTGCTGGAAGCGACATGTAATTATTATTATTATTATTATTAGGGTGGCTTCATTCAGGGCCTGTGCAGCCCCTCATCACTGCGACCATTAGCTGATCCATTGTGGTCACCTCTAATTAAAGGTCGGAGTCAAGACTAACAGCATTAAAGAAACGAAGGATTTTCCTGGCTTTGACAGTTATGATGTCCTCTGATTGTGGCCTGTGTCTTCCCAATATATAATTTAAACATTATTTAATTGTCATCCGTCACACTTAAACGATATTAAAGGTAGTGAAAATTCTGTTAAAAATGAAATAAAAAAGTACTTGTAGGTTAATATAGAAAACTGTCATTTCATAGTCTCCCTATAAACTTTTATGAAGTTTTTAGTTTAGATTTATTTGTAAAAAGTCATTGAAAAAGAAAGCTTCGTACGCCCAGCAAGGGGCAGCAATTAGGTAAGGAGAGGAGGAGATTCTACCGCCTCGTGGTGGAATCTACACTCTCTATTTTCTCTCTGCCCAATACGTGGTGGATCTAGTTAGCATTCTGATGCCTTTTCAGTCTGGAAACTGAAATTCTCTAGTGTTTAGCACTGTAGGCAAACATATATAGTTATACACTTTTGATTGTATAAGATATTGTACAATATATACGTAAGCATAAACTTCAAGCGAGAAACAAAATTATTATTAACATAAGTTAAATCTTTTTTTCTTGTACGGTTTGTTTGAATCCGAAGAAGCTGTTTATTTAAGGGAATATAAACTTTCAATCCAAAGTTTTAATTTCTCATAACACTTAATTAAATAATAGATGAATTACCAAAGCTTATGTTTGATTTATAATTGTATCATAATAAAATATTGACAAAGTAAATATTTCTTATCGCTGTTGTTTGAAAAATTTTCCTACAAAGATGACAAATAAAATTGTTTTTATCACAATAAACAACCTAAATATAAAAAAGTCTTGTCAATAAACTTCAATGATTCATTGTTAGTCCAATAATCGATCAACATGTAAGTAGTA